ATATATATATATATATATATATATATATATATATATATATATATATATATATAGAGAGAGAGAGAGACGTTGAAGTTAACAAGCAGACGCCTCATTATTTTCTCGGACATTCAGGCCGGTCAATGTTGTTAATACTGTTTATTATAAACAGTGCATTTACTTAAATATTTGTATCTATAAAAATAACATATAAACAATAAATATATTAAAATAATTGCCGGGCATAGTTCATTTCATAATATATGATAAAAATACATGGCATATCAATTCAGTTACTTTCTCACCGCCGAAACGTAGCTACCATGTGTATTTTCTATAAATATTTTCATGGTAATTTTCTGATGGACTTTGGTACCGCAACTTTACAAATGTAAGCGCAATACAAGATTGTTAGGAATGTTACATCATTTTACATTTGAAATGCTTTGATGTAAGCATAAGTTCTATGCTAACAATTTCTTATTTCGCACTTCTCGGTTGTGGAGTTCGCTTCCGCTTTCTTGCTATCCAATCAACTTTAATCTTCAAAAATTTAAATGCAATGTCAATCGTTATCTTCTTAATTCCTGTCCTTTTATTTTTTTTTCTCTTTCGTTAATAATGTCTTTTTCTTTTTCCCCCTATAGTCTTTCACATTCAGTAACCCCTTGCGTCTTAGGAGTGTTATTGGCTATTGGCATGCTTGGAATTAAATATATATATATATATATATATATATATATATATATATATATATATATATAGTGTGTGTGTTTGGTTGTCTGTATTGCACATGCATTTGTACATGCTTGTCTGGATATATGAGCTTATGTCTTATGACCTGTGCATGCAAAAAAAACTACAATATTGCATCACAATTACATTTTCACTCAGTTGTGAATCAATTAAAATATTTTACTTACGAAATAGCAAACGTAGCAATTTTTTCTCTTAATATTACCTGAGTTTTAATACGTTTGTATGTCGATGACTTCTTTCCGATTTCCTCTATAACTATGTTCAGTTTGTCTTAGAAATTCACACGTAGATGTTATAACGACTCGTGTTTCCAGTGAAACGTATGTATTTATTTATGTAAGCAACAACATCTAATCAGGTATTTCTGTTCACAGTTAACTGGCACAAACCTTAATGCCACACTGTATCCCATTCTCATTCAAACGTCTGGTTTGTTTTCCTCAATTACCTATTTTTATTATTTTAAAACAAATGTCTTCAACAGACTTTAGAAGGAATTTGTTCTACCATAGAGCTATAACTTTTATTGCCATGTTCCTTCAGGACGTGGAAGATGATGGATCACCACAACCTTTTATCTTTTGTAGCTGTTAGCAATGTTCGCCATTTTGCTATCCCTCATAAACCTTGTTCTGCCTTCCATTTACACAAGCTTGTTAGATATTTTATATGCTGCCTTCCTATGCCTCTTTTGACTTCAGTGTTTCCTGTAAGCGTCAAATTCTCCAAGCTCTTTTTTCTCATTATGTGCCTTATCAAATGTAATTCTCTCTTTCTGATTCTTAGTTTTCCTTTTCCTTAAAACTTCGTCGTTGCTCACATGTTCAATTCATGGTATTCTCAGCATCCTTCTGTAGAACTACATTTGTGTTACCTCAAGGCTTTTCTTAATCTATGAGGAAATTGTATAACTATCATAAGTATCATTTTTTGTGAAGAATATGTCTGAGTGGAACTTGTCAATAAAATAAGTTGATTAGACTCAGTGTACGTGGCACGGCGTGTTCTCGCCGTAAAAAGTCAGAACTGGTAGAAATAAGGAATGTAAATGTGATATTTACCATGGAAATAGCGGTAGAACAGTGATAGGTTTGCGACATTTCATCTTAGGAAGAGGATGTAAGGTTAAAAATAATCCATCACCCACAAGGCCGCTTAAACACTTTTTAAATTGCGTCAAATTTGTAAAGTGATTATTGTGCAGTTCCAACCTTAATTTTTGCAGCTCTGTTTCATTTTTGGTTTGATATAAAGCTTAAAACTGTTTGAGTTGCAGTTGTATTTAATTTAAAATATACTTTCGCAATCGCCAGATATTCAGTAAAAATGGACCCGTATATCAGCGGAAAACTGTTTTTAATTAACCATAGACATTGGTTTCGTAGATGAAGCGTTTTCAATTATTATTAATAAAGAGAAATTTTATTTCTGATGGCATGCAGAAGGTCTCCCTTATATCTGTTTCACTGACGGGCCCCCATAGGAAAAGTAATTAGATAGTGTCAAATGAGATACCCTTTATTCTGATCGGCCCTGCTTATTTATAAACATAGAATGACGATATGAGTTGCGACAAAAAAGGAAAATACTAGATATAAAAATAATAATAAAATTAATACTTTAATAAAATAATAGATTAACAGAAAACATTTGTTTTGTTTTTTTTTTAGCACTGAAACAAAGAATAAAATAATTAAACCCGTTTACGCTGAATGCATGCATTAAAATGTAATAAATACGTTCGAGTATATATTTCGGTACATCTGTATGATATTCTTCTTTTAAGTGCCGTGTCCCTTCAGGAAGCAGGTGGTAATAGCTCTCCGCACCTTCCTATCCTTTGTAACTCTTAGCAAGATTTGTCTTTTTTTCCTGACCCTCCTAGCCCCTGTTCTGCTATCCATTTACACAAGTTTGTCACATAGCTTAATCAGTTTTCATCTGTCTTCTTTCCTTCAATATGCCCGCTGCGTATCAGATTATCCAAGCATTCTTTTCCCATTAATAGAACAGTTTCAACTGTCCCTTTCTGATTACAAGTTACAAATTAATCAGAAAGTTTTACAATTTGTTTTTATTTAAGTGATTTAAAGATGAATTCTGTTGGAGTAAATTGAGTATAAATGAACTATTCTTCTTTTATATGCCAAATCCTTTTAGGATTCAAGCGGTCAGAGTTCACCACAAGTTCCAGTTTTTGTTGCTCTAAGAAATTTCAAAACTTTTACCACCCTTCTTTGTCCCAGTCCCTCCATTCGTTCACGCAAGCTTATTATGTAGATTACTCGCTGTATTCCCTGCTTTTCTTTCCTTCAGTATATCGTGTCAGTGTTGTTTTCTCAGAAATTTCAACTGTTTCTTTCTTATTGTAGGTATACGATTCTATTTTGTTCATACTTTTTCTTAAGGTTTCCTCGTTTCTCTCATATTCTGCTTTTGGTAGTTTTAGCATTTGTTAATAGAACATCTCTATCGCTTTAAGTCTGTTCTTCATCTGCGAAGAAACTCTCCAGCATTCACTGCCATATTGGAAATTAGATATTGCATAGTAATTCAGCTCTATTTTGTTGCTGTTTCTTGCTATATTTTATTGTCTTAATACTTATTTTATAAACGACTACTGTAAGTAACCTCCCACAATTCTAAATAAGTTTCGGCTTTAAATAACCACGAATGGTTGATAAGCCATAGGAATCAAATCAATCAATTCTAGAAGACATCACTCGTGATTCCTATGTGTATTTGGATTTCTGTACCATATTTTCTGTTGTATGTTATATCCCTAGCCAGATAGTCTTGTTGCTTGATTTTGAGATTCCTAAGTATTAATTACAACAAAACATTATTCCTCTTTTTCCTCTTCTTTTCAGTAAAAAATAAAAACTGTTACAGGTACAAAGATAATGCATAAAAAAGACTTCGAACAAGTACTCTTCATTATTCAATACTTTTATTTTGTATCATTTCATATGCATTCAGAGAGTCTTATCGTAGACTAGAATATAAAGGATAATCTGGAAAAAAAACATTAAAAAGCGTATCTTTGTTATAATAAAAATGCTTACCGATAATAAACGATATTTTATAATTTACCTTCCCACCAAAAAAAAAAAAAAAAAAAAATGGAAACTGCTATATTGCCATTCTGAGACGACCATACCGAACTTCTGTCTTTTCTAAAAATATTTTCATGGATATTGTTCTTGTGAGATTTCCTCCATGGTGCCTGGAATGCGTAAATTTAAGCGTGCTAGTAGAATGGTAACTAAGTCTCATCATGTTACTGTTGAACTAGCTAGATACAATTGTATGTTGTATCTAGCTAGTTCAACAGTAAAATGATGAGATTTAGTTACAATTTTACTAGCACTCTTAAATACTATACTAATAGTTTCTGTTTTTGTCTGTATAAATTCCTTCCGACTTCTTGGTTCCCTGCCACCTACAATCTTCAAAAAGGTAAATGCAACACCAATCGCCATCTTCTGTCTTCATGGATCCTGTTCTTTCATTGCCATTTTGCCTCACTAATTTCTTCTCATTCTCTTTCACTCCCAATAATCCCTTGAGTCCTAGCGGTATTATCGCTTTTCTTGGGGTGAAATTATTAAAAAAAACGTGACAAGTATTCTTTCGAGACAAGTTTGTAAACTTTGTACAACCGCTGCATATAAAAAGTAATGTAAGTAAAAAGACAGTAATTCGAACAGACTGAAAAATAAATTTTACTCGGTTATCAATGGCCTCTGCATTTCTTTGCCGATAATTTGGTGCAGATTTACAAAAGAATTAAAATCAAAAACGAAATTTTAATTCATATATATATATATATATATATATATATATATATATATATATATATATATGAGAGAGAGAGAGAGAGAGAGAGAGTGGTAATTTTAATATATTTTATTGTTATATGTTATTTGTATAGACACAAATATTAAAAGTAAATATAAGTAAATGCTCTGTTTATAATAAACAGTATTAACAACATTTACCGGCCTGAACGTCCGAAAAATGTTCATATCCCTACACACGTCTATATGCACAAAAGCTGTGTATTCAATTGTGAAAGCAGAATAACGTATATACTTTTATTAATTCAAAGCACCCAAAAAAATAAAATTTTGGCATTAAATGACCCATAAGGAGTTCATATACCGTTAAACAAACAAATCAATCAATTGCAAGATGGAAACTATTAAATAACGATGGGAGTATTTTTAGTAGCCGAATATTCCAAGTATTCTATTTATCTTCACACCGGTCCTCATAAGATCTCCAAAGTTAAGCAGCATCGAGCCTGGTCAGCACGTAGATGGCTGACCGCCTGGGAATACCACGTGCTGTAATATCGGATGCGCGGTGGTGTAATGAATACTGGCTGACAATTTGAAATCGGAGAGCAAAGTTCCTATTTCAGTTATATTCACTTATGCGCAAATAACCTTGGGAAAGGCATGAACCACTTCTTCTCTCACAGCTATGGATTACATAGTAAGATTTTTATCCGTAAATCATTATTATTTTCTCAAAAAAATTCTTACGATCCAAAAATAATATTTTAGCTTTAAATAACCTTCAAAAGGTTAATAGACCTTTAAAAACTCAAATCAGTCTATCAATCTATCTATCAATCTATCTATCTATCTATCTATCTGTCTATCTATCTGTCTGTCTGTCTGTCTATCTATCTATCTATCATTTTATCGTACCTGCACTGTAATTTCACGCAATTGCGTTCGTTCATTCTTGTGGTATACTTGATATGTTTAATAATTTTAAAAAATAAGCAAAGGGAGAGATAGAGCGATCGAGAAATTTATCGAAAAATATTTTTATCTGCGCTCTCAGTTACCATGTAAGTAAATCCCGCTGAGACTTTATCTTCGCTGTCATATATCACAAAGATAGCGCAGGAATTTGTTATTTCTATTGAAAAATAAAAATCTTGGAAGAGAACTTCAAAATGAAGACTTCGTAAAAGAGAATTAACAGAAAGAAGAGCGAATGCGTTTGAATCAAATCAAGCAATTAAAGAAAAGAGCTTCCAAAGTTTTTGAAATGATCCTGTAAACCACAATTGTCAGTTCTCTGGAACTGATTACCCGTCAGAATCATCTTGTGGTTAATTACAAGGCTGTACGCAGTAACATGCTCGAGGCAATCGGCCAATTATACAGAGATTCCAAGGTTTAATTTACGTGCGTTATTTTAAAACCCTCCATTGGGCCTAGGGGAGAGTCACATTCATTGAAGTAAACAGAGCAACTAAATAAGTAAATAATGGTAAAGAAAAGTCGATTACAAACGAACGTTGCTGCAATTCAACTTCCTTTCAGACATCATGCATCAGTATTTTGGCATTTTAACGCTGACTGATAAATTGTAGAACCAGAATGTTAAAATAACTGTAGACAGTCTTCGTGTTAATGTCTTCAGGAAGGCAACCAGCACAAAATGAGTGTAATGATTTTAACTTGACGTATCAATGTTTATCTGTGCGTTATAGATTACGTTAAGGCATGCAATAAATTACGCCACAAAGATTTGTAAGAATGGCTCAGCAACCTGGACATATTTGGGAAGGACATTAGAATAATCAAGAATCTACACTGGCAGCAAACCGCCTGCATACGAATAGAAAATAAGTTCAGCAGATATGCAAAAATAGAAAAGGAAATAAAACCAGGATGCAGTATTGGCGACCTCAATTTTAACAACATAAGATACGCAGATAATACAGTAGCAGACACGAAAAAAACTACAATATCTCCCACAGAAGGTAGCAAAGGAAGGCGAGAAGAAAGGACTTATCACAAACTGCAAGAAAACAAAATACATATTTCTTAGCAAAAGTGTTATACAGGAATAAAGTTGGGCACCTCGACGTGGTGTAATGGTTAGAAAGTTTGTCTTGCTTGATCAATTACGATTAGTAGTGAGCTCGAACCTCACTGGGTGCCCCATACTTTCGGCCTTGTGCCACATCTAAGCCGGGCTTAGAAAATCACAATAGGAATAGTGTCGCTGCCGACAATGGAGCTTGAACACAGATCACCATTGAGCAATCACAGGCGATCCCATTTTGAATAAGTTGATCACGGGATCGTAAAGGAAACATATGTATTAGAATTAGCGTGAAATCTAGACGATCACTATTTGTACTCAATCCTCTATTACTATAAGGATCGCTATTCTCTTTACTATTCACTATACTGATCGCTATAAGGATTACTATTCGGATCACTACATGGTAGTTACATTACGAGTGAATATTACCGAGCAAGTACTATTAGTGCGAGTGCTATTCGAAGGCATCTGACACCAGTATTGTTCAATGGCGTTACTATAGTTGTATTTGCGATTACAAAGTCTCTACTACATCGAGCATTACGAAAGTGACAACAAGTATTCGTTGACATTACAAAAGTTTCAATCAGTGTTCGTTGACATCACAAAAAAAATGAATGAGCCCAAGATGCAAATTACAAATTGGAGATACCAAAATCAACCAAGTACAAAAATTTAAATACCTGGGAAGTGTTCTAACAGGGGACGGAAAATGTGACACTGAAATCCGAAGACGCATTGGGATAGCGAAAGATGCTTTCCATAAGCTAAGCAGGGTATTAAGATATAGAAAAACTTTGTTAGAAACAAAGAAAAGAGTACTGAATGGTTACGTGATATCTGTCCCACTATATGGGGGTGAATGCTGGACAATTTTCTCAAAGATGAAGAGATGTGAAGTAACAGAAATGTGGTTCTACAGAAAGATACTGAGGATACCATAGACCGAACATGTGAGCAACGACGAGATGTTAGAGATAATGGAAACAAAAAAGGTAACTTATAATTAACATTAGGAAAATACAGTTAAAATTTCTATGGCATATAATAAGGAAGGAGCGCTTGGAAAATCTGTTACTCACAGGACAGATTGAGGAACAGAGGATAACAATGCTTAACATAATTGACGAGCTTGAGAAAATGGATGGCGGAACAGGGATTAGAAATAACAAAAAGAGAGAATTTATTTAGAGCTGCAAAGGATAGGAAATTGTGGAGAGCTATGATCGGCTACGTCCTGAGCGGACACGGTACATAAAGAGAGAGATTTGTTTCGTGATGTAGTTGTCTATTTTATATTCAAGAAAATAAAGCAGTATACGAGAGGCATGAATAAGCCCATACCCTGACACGTTAGGTTTTAACCAAACTTTTATCTAAATTTATCTATACTATTTAACGCCTAGGCTTAATATTCACCTTTGAATTAGTTGCATTGATATTGTTGAAAATTAGTATTTGTTGTGGAAAACAAATGCATCTGTTTTCTTTAGGTCACTGATTTATTGATGTGCCTACGTAAAGCTATGGAGATGTCACGTGGTGTTCCTACTTTTGACATTTTCCGTATTTCGGTTTTGAGCTCAAGCAACACCCGTGGATTTCAAAAAATGTTAAGATTGGGATTAGTTGAAGTTCCCGAGAGAAACCGAACAAACTCTTTTATGCAGTCTGTTTCCATCTCTGCAGATAAAGAATCAGAAGTGATCCTAAATCTGTCAATAACAAAGACTCCCCTCAGCAATTACTTGTGAATCTTTGAGCTCTATATATTTTATACTATTTCCATACAAAACGTACGCGATCATCGCTCTCGACAGATTAATTTTATTTGCTATCTGTGAATTTCTGATAAACTGGAGAGATACTATGTTCAGTCAAAATATTCTTAGCATCCGTCGGTTGCCGCAAATCGCCTCTTAATCTGTGCGGAAATTGTTTAGCATTCACTGCCATATTGAAGGATTCGTATCTCGCTCCCATCTTGGGATGCCCCTCTTGCTAACGATCATACATTATGTCTCCTTACAGTTGACGTTTAGTCCGTCCTTTCTTCTCATTTTTATTTCCTACCTTGTCTAAGAGTTCCTACGATTGTCTTTCTGTATCTGCAATTATTTGCTTATACGTATATGTATAGAAAGTTTTTAGTAATACAATACTTAATAAGTTAATCTTGCGAAACAAATCTACTATGTAGTGCGTGTCAGTTTCATTCATTGCTTCTGCTACAGTAGAATCATCGCCTGATTAGCAAAAAATATCTCCTCACTGATATGCCTCAATTTTTGATGGAGAAGAGCGAGTGATCGCTAGGATAAGCCATATTCTCCCAAAGTATCTTAACGCCCAGGCTGCGTGAGTAAATAGCTGTTACTCCCATTGTCAGCCCTGAAAGAGACAAATCAATTTGTTTTCTTAAATATTCATTACTTTATATCATGTATGAAGTAGCCAAATAATACACATAACCTGAAATAACCAAATACATAACTCAGTTGTATGACGTATGTCTGATGTAATAGGTAAAAATGTAGAGTAGATGTGGCAGCTATAGAACATCTGTGTGGTTTAAATCCGTTTAACTACGGAATAATTGCTGGGACCCCAAAGATGGAGAATTCTGTTTCCGAAGTGACAACTGCTGTAGGGTTTGTTTTCTTTTTTCGTCAACATAAGCAATGATATACTAAGAATATGTGAATTCTAGACTGACATCAGTAATACGAGAGTAGTACTGACGACAACAAATGAGGCGAGAAAGGGACAACCGATTACTGACAAGGACAGTAACGACCCAACGAAGTGGGGACATTGCAACAAATCATATCTCAAGTCAGTGTACATCGGATTCCATAGGTTTCGTAGTCATCAAACAATATCATTTACATACCATTATTTACACCTAGATATCGGTTAGTTCACCTGACCAGCAGCAATGAAGCTTACCATTAGACGATGGAAACTGGTGCCATGTGGATGCCAGTTAGGTTTTAATCTCTTTTGAGCAGACATTTAAGTTGGTGCATGAAAGAAACTATATGAATCTAGCTATACAGCAGAGTATTGTGTAAGCTGGTGACGGCTGTTTGAATGAAATGGAAAAGACGGCACTGATTTTAAAATATCCAGAGATCAAACACTCAGACATACCTGTATCCAGAGATCAAACACTCAGACATACCTGTATCAAAATTGTGACCAGTCTTGATCGAAGAAAAGAAAATGGTTATTATGTATTTGCCTTCAATTGTGAGCATATACCCGACACAGTTTAGTGTCGTGCTCCTTCATATATGCTTCCATTTTCTTTTTTTTTACCTACAAATTTGACGAATTAAGAAAATACTTCAAGCGATAGGGAAATGTTTCTAATCACGAATGCTGAGAATATCATTGTCAGAGTATTTTAGATGTGAGCTGGTTTTAAAAATCGTAGAAACTACAAAGTAACTGCTATTGACAATTGGAAAGTGATAGTTTTAATTTTTAACTTTTG